TAACTCATGACAGTCAGTGCATGACCATCAAGAACTGGAGAATCTGCTTGTTGTGGAAAACCCACACATTTGGTGTCAGAAGTGCTCTATGGGTAGATTAGTAAAAAATACTAGTTTTCTCTTACAGAGTGGTTTTTTTCTCTTTAATATGTAAATAAATTTTTTCTATTTGTTTAAGTGTCTTTCAATGGATTTCCATTTCACTTAGAATAAAAATGACATTTCTTATTGTAACCTACCACATTGTTCAGGATCAACCTCTTTCATCTCATCTCCAAGGACGTCATTGGTAAATTTTACTCAAGATACGTGGAGGAAATAATACAACCTATATATACTTTTTCTGAAAATAGAGATTGAGTAACTTTCCCGCTACTTTTGAGACCAGAATTTCTTTGATAACAGAAGTAGTCAAATGCACTATGAGAAAAGAAACTGCTGAGTCAGCAACCATGATGCCTATGGGTTCACAAATCCTCAGCAAGTTGTTTCCAAGCCAGATACAGCAAAATATTAAGAGTAATACATCACAACCAAAAGTGGTTTATTCTAGGAGTGCAAAGGTGGCTTAATATTTGAAATCCACCTCATTAACATAATTAAACAGAAGAATCATATGATTTCTACAGTAAATATGGAAAAAGTGGGTTTGATAAAATTCAGTTGTCAGTCATTAGTAAAACTGTTAGCAAACCAGAAATAAAAGAATATTTTCAAACATGATAAAGGGCAACATACACAAAACTTATAGCTACCATCATGAGTAATAGCAAAAAACTAAAAACTTCCCTCTACATATAAGAAACGTATGTCCACTCACCATTCTTGTAGAATAGTTCTTAGCAAGGACAAAAAATCAAGAAAGAGGAATACAAAGCATATCAAAAAGAAAGAAAGAAAACTCTCATTATATAGAGTCAACAAGATCATGTATAGAAAAAATCTTAAAGGATCTAAAAAAGACAATCCTCTAGCATTTATAAATAAATTTATCAAGTTTGTAGGAAAAATATCTCTATAAAAATCACATTATATAATCTAGCAGAATAAATAAGAAAATTAAACATAAAAAACAATGCTATTCACCAAAGCATTAAGGATGAATGTAACAAAACAGAGCAAGATCTTACAGTGAAAATTATAAAACATTGCTGAAATATGAAAAGTCCTAATGACACATGGAGATGGGCTATGTTCAAGGATTAGAAGATTTCATATTTTTACACTGTCACTTTTCTCCTAATTGATTTCTAGAGTCAATGAAATATCTATCAAAATCCTAATAGGCTTCTTTCGTAAACACTGACACACACTAAATTTTTTAGAGAGATGCAAATGTCATAGAATATACAAAACAATCTTGTAAAGAACAAAGTTGGGGAACTTACTCCACTTTATTTCTAGATTTTAAAGCTATCGTGATTTTCTCCTAAAATAACATCCCACAAATTCTTCCTTTCCTGTACACATGTGCCACTTCTGTCCATTAAGCTCTGGAGTTTATTTCCCTTCCCGGAAATCTAGGCTTCCCCTGTTTTGTGACTTGCGTTGATCAATATGGTGCTTACAAGCTTCCATATTCGTTCTCTTAGAAACTTGAGCCATAATGTCACTGAGTCCGAATAATCTGATAGAGATTAAAGTTTCATGAAGAGATGCTCTGCTGGATGTGAGACTTCAAAGAGAGAGAGTGGACCACGCAGCCTCCAGCTACCTCCCGTGTACACGAAGTTGTTCCAGTCGTTTCTGACTCTTTGAGAGTCCATGGACAGTAGCCCACCCGGCTCCTCTGTCCATAGGATTCTCTGGGTTGCCATGACCTCCTCCAGGGGATCTTCCCTACCCAGGGAACGAACCCGTGTCTCTTACGTCTGTTGCTTAACCACTGGTGCCACCTTGGAAGCCCAGCTAGCTTAGTCAACTCAGATAATGCTCCAGACATGTGAGTGATGCCTTCTTAGATTCTTTAGATTTAACTGATCTATATTAATCAACACCACATGTTGGAGAAATGAGCACATCCTCACCAAGTCCTGCCTAAGCTGTTGATTTACGAACAAGTGATTGGTTGTTCTTGCTGATGCCACAATATTTGGGGGTCAGTTCATATACCAGGGTAGAAATCTGACTGAGCAAATGAATGACATTTCTTTTTCTCAAAGCAGGCTAGTAACATCATCATATCGTGCCTTATGCTGAAATACTTTCTGTAAGTCTCTTCTACAGATTTTCTAGGGAACAGGCAGTTTCTGTAGATACACTTCAGAAATTAAAAGATAAGGACATTTTTGTGCAGCATGAAATTAACTGAAAGAACTTTCTGATTAAATTTCTGATTGTAAAAGTAAGGTTTACAGATCTGAAAGAGACAAGTGCACCCCAATGTTCATCACAGCACTATTTATAATAGCCAGGACATGGAAGCAACCTAGATGCCCATCAGTAGACGAATGGATAAGGAAGCTATGGTACATATACACCATGGAATATTACTCAGCCATTAAAAAGAATTCATTTGAATCAATTCTAATGAGATGGATGAAACTGGAGCCCATTATACAGAGTGAAGTAAGCCAAAAAGATAAAGACCAATACAGTATACTAATGCATATATATGGAATTTAGAAAGATGGTAATGATAACCCTATATGCAAAACAGAAAAAGAGACACAGATGTACAGAACAAAATTTTGGACTCTGTGGGAGAAGGCGAGGGTGGGATGTTTCAAGAGAACAGCATCGAAACATGTATATTATCTAGGGTGAAACAGATCACCAGCCCAGGTTGGATGCATGAGACAAGTGCTCGGGCCTGGTGCACTGGGAAGACCCAGAGGAATCCGGTGGAGAGGGAGGTGGGAGGGGGGATTGGGATGGGGAACGCATGTAAATCCATGGCTGATTCATGTCAATGTGTGACAAGGACCACTGCAGTACTGTAAAGTAATTAGCCTCCAACTAATAAAAATAAATGAAAAAAAAAAGTAAAGTTTACTGAATTTATAGTATAAAAAAGGGGAGTATGTTCCTCATCATTACACAAAATTCATGTTTATCTTTTCTTATATTTTCTTTGGTCTCAATGCATTGATGCATTTTATGAAAAAATGCATTTTTTTTGCAATTGGGATCATATTTTATATAAAGTTTATTGTTAGCCTATAGTTATCAGGAAATAATTACTTACAGGGCACATCTCATCTTACAAGTACCCTAAGACATATAAAATAGACCCTTATTCTCACATTTAGCAAAGATCTGTTATCAAAAACACACTTACTATTAGGGTCATCTGCGTGTACTGACACCATTACACAAATACAAAGAAAAAGTTCATTGAAATTTATCAGTGTCATATGAAGTTCATTGCACAGAATATTGTTTTCCCATAATGTGCTATTTTATTATGAGAATTCCATTGACAAATTTTTTCTAATTTTAGCACAAAACTTTACATTTCTCCTAGATAAACCATTGTTTATATACTCGAAACAGGCCTGAACTATGGAACCACTGAACTTTTTTTTTCAAAGTACAGACTAAAACATGAGGGTCCCCCACCAAAAGTATATCTGCAAATGTATTCTCTAACCTTAGTTTTGAATTCATTTCCTTAACTCCACATTTAATTTTCTATCAGAGGGATTTATGAATCTTTATAAACTGTGATACTTTTTTGTAAAATTAATTTACCTGTCTTATTTTTCCATTTATCATTATATAATTATCATTTTCTGAACACTTTAATAACTAAGCAACATTTTATTATGTTAATCACACTACTGCTAGAAACAATAGATTGGTGTTCATTCTTCAGTATTATAGAAATTGTAAGAAACAACTCTGCATTTCAATTTTTGCACAGATTTTGTTTTTTTTCTAGGATTAGGTTTTCCTCAAGGGGTCTTGAAATATATTATCAAATTTCTTTAGAAAGACTACAATGATCTACTCTAATCATGAGGGTGCCTACCTCAACACACCTTGCCAGCACTGAGTAGTAGTATTGTTCAGGATTTTGTTAATGTGACCAGTAAAAGGACATCAAATGAGTTAACATGATTTTTAAAAAATTATTATTAGCACAAACCCATACTCTCAATGATGCTTCCCTTACCTTATATTAAGTATTCAAGAGTCTTCTTGTCTATTTGTTCTATAGACCTGTGTCTATCCATGTGATAATTCTATACTTTCAAAGAGAAAGTACACTACACAATTACCTCTAATAGTAAGAAAAGTTACAATATAAATATTCAACATTACTGAAGTAGTTATATGTGACATAGCTGCAGATTGAAACAATTATTAAAAATTATGCTTATAGAGTTTGCCAATGATCAGATGCTAAATTAGAATATGTTGGCATAAGGGCATTTTGCAACTATTGATATGAAAAAAAAACTTGTTTCTGTTGAATTTTAAAAAATGAAGAGGTAATTAACAAAATACTGTCAGTGCTCAACTCAATTAGTGGAGTTACGGGTGCTTTATGCATTCTTCGCTGGAACTTTCATTATTTTCTAAATTGCACCAAGCTATATACTTTTCCTTGCTTGCTTGCAAATCTTTTCTAGATTAGGGTGGGGCTATATATTTAAGACACAATGCTTTTAATTACATTGTCAATATCCCAAGCTGTTGATCAACACTTTAAATATTCTTTAGCTGAAAGAATTCAGAGAAACATCAAACAAGAGAAGACTGCTATTTTAAAAATTCGCTTTTCCAATGCCCAAGTTTAATATTTGATTTGAGACCAAAGGAAAAGAATAAATAATAATGTTTTAAGAGGGGGAAAGCATAGCAGAGAAAGACACCTAATACCACATTTTTGATTCTGTAACTTAATAATCATAATCCATCTTTGTGAGGTCATATAATTCATCTTCTAAACTGTGACAATATCAATTCAAGTTATGCCATCTCAGCTCACAGCAACCTTTCAGTTTAGTTAGAGTGTCTCAGTGAAGGATGGTTAGTAAAATCTTGAAATCTACCTGTCAAATGACGGCTTCTCTCCGCAGTCAAAAGCATCCTGCAGTTCCTTGACCAGGTTAGCCTGGCCTGGCAGTCGGAAGAGGCCCTCCTCCTTCAGCCCCCTTTGTCGGATGAAGTCCACACATTGCTCCACCAACATCGGAGCCAGGCGGTTCCCATACCTCTTCTCATAGCGAACAGTATCTTCCAGTTTCTGTCCAAAAATGCCTGGAGAAATAAAGGATCACAATGAATTTGAGAAATTCATCTGTTCCTACTATGTAAGTTTAAGCAAACTCTGGGAGATAGCGAAGGACAGGGAGACCTGGTTCTCTGCAGTCTATAGAGTGGCGAAGAGCTGGACACGACTTAGCGACAACAACAACTATTACTACTCCTTTGTTCTAACTACTGGACCACAAGAGAATTCCCCTCTCTTCACTTTTGTTTTCTTTTTTAAATAAAAGGGCACCTTCTGTTTTCAGTCAAGTGATGATGCCATGATTATAATCAAGGTGATAAACCATGAAAAGAGACACAGAATTTTCACCCATATAAAATATTTCAGACAGTGTCTGCTCTTTAAAATCTTAAACTATTAATTTACTGGAAAGAAAAAAAAATTGAATTATGAAGCTCTATGTTCTACAAGTGAGGAGACAGGGTCATGGTGATTTTTCCTAACAGGAATGAGTATCTGATTACATATTGTCTAGAATTAGCAGCACATGGGGGTAATAAAAATCAAAATCATTTTGACCAGTTTTATTCATTATATTTAAATACTTAACAAATGATGCATTTTTTTCTGCGTGCATTTGGGGCTGAATATTCCCACTCTGCATCCTTGGTACCCCACTGATTAAGAAACAATGCCTCTAAAATATACTAATATGAGGTGGAACTTGGAAAAATAACCAACCAATGAGAAAAGGGGAAGAAAAGGAGCCAAAGCAAATATGATTCCAATGTTCCCAGATGGGATGAATATTACTGAGAGGTTTTAATGGCCTAATGAGTTTCATAAAAGGGGAAGAAAAATTAGTGGTGCATGTTGAAACTATGTAAGACTCTGGAATGTTTGGGGAATTATTTCAAAACCGTTAAGTTCCGGATTTAACAATAAGAACATATGCTTTACTTCTCTATCGGTAAAATAATTTATGTATGGATTCAGTAAAGTAAAACCATCACATTCCATGCAATAAACACTTGCTACTAAACAGAATATTCTTAGCCTAGGCAGAACCAAAAACACAACAAATGAAACTATTCTCCACCTGGTATCCAGTCTAGCACTAACATATTCCTTTGAGGAAAAACGCTTGAATGATCCGATATTAATATTTAAGTGCATATAAAACAATTGGAAATTAGCTGAGTTTGTAGACTTTGCAACAAGCAGTTTCTCAATAATGGTATGTTAAACATTGGAATCACTGATCTTGGCTTTTCTGTTACTTGCAGCAGTGTCCAATACTCTATGAAGTGGTGATAATGATTTGAAACTCTTAGTGTTTTAATAACAAAGCTTGAAAATTGACCATGAATGAAGAATACTGACTCTCTCTCTATGGAGCTCTTTCATGCTTTCATGCCTGGAATGTTTGGATTCTATCCTGCCAAAATTAAGGAGATAGCCTTTCAGAGGCACTTCTAAATTAAATTAAAAAAATAATGTTAACATTAGGGAATAAATCTTATCTATCTGATTTTTTACTTCTTTTTTTGTTTTGGACTGACACATTATTAATACTTAAGGTATCTCCCTAAATCCAGCAGAAAATCTATTAAAGATGTTCCAGTTCAACCTCAATGTGCGCCACACATGAGAACCAAACTTCCAAGATTTAGTTTTATGCAGTAATGAAAAACAGTCAAACATTCTTTTCTGATCAGGGTTTCTTTATTCCCCTAAACTCAGGGAAGTGATAAAGGATACAGCAAGTTTTGCTTTAGAAGGGTACTCTGGTTTTCTTTTCTTCCCCCTGTTACACATAGTCTTGCCTGTATGATAAGAATTTTCTTAAGTATAGCAACAAACTAAAAGCCAAGAGCCCCCAACATTCATTCATGCATTAAGTACCTAACATGCACTAAGTTGTTGACATGTATTCCCTTATTTCCATAATAAATATACATGGTAGCTATGAAACTGAGAGAGATTAAATACATAAGGTTAGTTACACAGCCGGAGAAGGCAATGGCACCCCACTCCAGTACTCTTGCCTGGAAAATCCCATGGGCAGAGGAGCCTGGTAGGCGGCAGTCCACGGGGTTACGAAGAGTCGGATTCGACTGAGCGACTTCACTTTCACTTTTCACTTTCATGCATTGGAGAAGGAAATGGCGACCCACTCCAGTGTTCATGCCTGGAGAATCCCAGGGACGGGGGAGCCTGGTGGGCTGCCGTCTGTGGGGTCCCACAGAGTCGGACACGACTGAAGCGACTTAGCAGCAGTTATACGGCACCAAGTCACAGAATGGAAATCCTTATCTAGACTTAGCCTTACAAATCTTTGCTTGTCTCTGGGTACCTGTCCTCTTCCACTTTATTTAACTCAATTATCATGTGTTTTCATTTTCTAGTAACTTAAAATATTAATACATTCTAAAAGTGAAGAAAACAGCATATCTTTTCTGTGCTCTGAAAAATGGTAATAGTGAGGCTGTATTTATGTATGCCAGGCATGGGTACAAGCAGGTTATCTGCACTTCTCTTACTTAAAACTCACAGCATCCAATGAGGTAGGCACCACCATATTGCTGAGGAGGAGACTAAAGCACAAGTAAGTAACTTGCTGGACGTCACAAGGTAAAAGGTGGAACCAGGATTTGATCAAGGCTGCTGAATTTCAGATGACTGTGTGTGCATTACAAAATATTGCACAGTGGGCATAATGGCTAAAAACTGAGTTACAAAGGAAGAGCTGACTCATTGGAAAAGACCCTGATGCTTGAAAAGCCTGAGGTCAGGAGGAGAAGGAGGGCAGAGGATGAGATGGTTGGATGGCATCACCAAATCAATGGATTTGAATTTGAACAAACTTTGGGAGATGGTGAAGAACAGGGACGCCCAGAGTGTTGTAGTCCATGGGGTCACAAAGAGTTGGACACAACTTAGTGACTGATCAACAATAATCTCAGATATACAGATGACACCACCCTTATGACAGAAAGTGAAGAACTAAAGAGCCTCTTGATGAAAGGGAAAGAGGAGAGTGAAAAAGTTGGCTTAAAGCTCAACATTCAGAAAACGAAGATCATGGCATCCGGTCTCATCACTTCATGGCAAACAGATGGGGAAACAGTGGTTGACTTTATTTTTCTGGGCTCCAAAATCACTGCAGATTGTGATTGCAGCCATGAAATTAAAAGACACTTACTCCTTGGAAAGAAATTTATGACCAATCTAGATAGCACATTAAAAAGCAAAGACATTACTTTGCCAACAAAGGTCTGTCTAATCAAGGCTATAGTTTTTCCAGTGGTTATGTATGGATGTGAGAGTTGGACTATAAAGAAAGCTGAGCACCAAAGAATTGACTCTTTTGAACTGTGGCGTTGGAGAAGACTCTTGAGAGTCCCTTGGACTGTAAAGAGATCCAACCAGTCCATCCTAAAGGAGATCAGTCCTGGGTGTTCATTTGAAGGACTGATGCTGAAGCTGAAACTCCAGTACTTTGGCCACCTCATGCGAAGTGACTCATTGGAAAAGACCCTGATGCTGGGAGGGATTGGGGGCAGGAGGAGAAGGGGACGACAGAGGATGAGATGGCTGGATGGCATCACCGACTCGATGGACATGAGTTTGAGTAAATTCCAGGAGTTGGTAATGGACAGGGAGGCCTGGTGTGCTGAGATTCCTGGGGTTGCAAAGAGTTGGACACGACTGAGTGACTGAACTGAACAGATACATATTTAGCAACAGAATATGTAAAAGAGTTTTAGAATGTAGACAATACATACACTTGTTTAGAATTCCTGTGGGGAAAACAGTAATTTTCTGCTGTTTATCCAGTCTTGCAAAGCATTAGGTAATGATTAGTTGCATACCCCCCAGCCTGTAGCATTGGAAATAGAATGCTCCAAAGGTCTCTGACTTACAAAGGTAGACGGTGAATCAACTTCCCTATAAGAATTTTTTGTTTTTGGTGTGGAACTCAGGGAGAAATTGTGTGCTTAGTCACTCATGTACGACTCTTTGTGAGCCACGGACTGTAGCCTGCCAGGCTCATTTATGCACGGGGATTCTCCCGGCCAGAATACTGGAGTAGGTTGCCATGCCCTCCTCCAGGGGATCTTCCCAACCCAGGGATGGAACTCAAGTCGCCCTTGTTGCAGGTGGATTCTTTACCATCTGAACCACCAAGGAAGCCTAGGGGGAAACTAGAGTTGCAGAAATAGAGAATGGAGGCAATGGCGCAGGTAGAGGGGGAAAGGGAAGGAGCAGTGAACTGACAGATTGGGACTGACATATATACACTACCATGTCTAAAAGAGATAGCTAGTGGGAACCTGCTGCATAGTAAACGGAGCTCAGCTCTGTACCCTGTGGAGACTTAGAGAGGTGAGACTGGGGGTGGGGTAGGAGGGAAGCTCAAGAGGGAGGGGATATGTGTATACATACGGCTGATTCACTTCATTGTACACCGGAAACTAACACAACATTGTAAAGCAATTATACTCTAATAAAAGAAGCTGCTTTATTTAGAACTTCAACATTTAAACTTCAAATTTTAAAATGAACAACAAAAAAAGCACAAAGGTCATAAGCTATCCCCAACTAGCAGCATGAAGAAGAGAACATACTGATTAGTAGATTATTAACAGGAATATCCCCCGTGGTGTGAGTCTTGCAAGCAGTTCCAGCTATGCCCATGTAAAATCTCAGAGAGGTTTCACCTTCCCTAACAAAAGCATCCTTGGAATTTCTGGGGGAAAACAATCCATTATGCATATTTTCCCCTGGACGTACATTGATGGTGTCATAAAGCATCATTCAGGACGTGACTTTCCACCAGACTGAGAAAGTAAATCACACAGGTGATTTTATTATATCTGTGGGAGTCTGTTTCAGCTGGAGGGAGACACAGAGGGAGAGGAAAAAAAAATATAAAGAAAATCTAAATAGCTTCAGGATTTGTGAGGTTCTTCCTTTATATACTCCATGGCTAGAGGCAGCCTGTGGCATTACTGAGTGCGATCAGCAAAGTGTATTCAAATTC